TAGCATTTCTTTCTGTTGTACATGGGATCACACCGAGTACGAAATGACATCCAACAATAATAACAATATACTTTCTGTAGCGAACTGCCTAGCTTTTGATGAGCAATTCACACTTTGCTCCCTCAAGGAATACTTTCCTGGCATACCCTATGAATTTCTTCATCATATTTCCATGGGTGCTCTTAATTTCTATGCCTATCTCTTTTATTAGATTTTGAGCTCCTTGTAAACAAGTGTGATGCTCTGAGTGCCTTAGTATCTTGAGGCCTCAAGAGAGAGTATAATGAAGCTGATCCTCATTATCCTAACAAACCAAATCAATTGTCGTCAAGTTGATTCCAACTCAGGCTGATCTTATGGGTGTCAGAATAAAACTGTGTTCCTTCAGATTTTCACTGGCTAGATTTTTGAAAACAGATCAAATGTGCCTGATTTTATCCCACTGCTAAGAAACGGTTTGACAGTTTAAGCCCACAAGTCTCTCTTTGGGAGAAAGATGTGGAGGTCTGCTTCCCTAGATAATTTACAGCATTGGAAACCCTATGAGGCAGTTCAACTCTGCCCTACGGGGTTGCTCTGAGTCAGAATTGACTCCATGGTAGTGGGGTTTTTGGTTTGTTTGTTGATCACCAGGCCTTTCTTCCAAAGCACTTCTGGGTGGACACTTACTTCCAACCTTTTGATTTGCACCATCTAGGGACTCCTGTTCCCTATATGACTGTATAAATCTGTGTTAGGATAGGTCTACTAAAACAGTATCCAAGGCAGGTTTTTTGATGTCCATGATTTATTGAGGGAGTGTTGGAAGGAAGCAACCAGGAAAGGCTGAATATGAGCACAGAGGAGATCTTTGGAGCATAAACTGTACCAGAGAGTTGTCCTCATTTGACATAAAGGAGTCATTCTTGCAAGTACCTATACCAGTCAGTGATTGGTGGACCACACTCAAACTTGTGTAACTTTCCCATCAGGAAGTGCCTCCCCATCAAAGGCCATTTTCAAGAGAAGTGGGGAACAGTGAACATTCAAAGTAGTGGAGAATGGGGTACTGTAGTGTCTACTACCCTATCATGAATGTCTTCATTATTTTCTTTCTGTTCCCGTGACCCGTTAAAAGTAGATAATACAATTTGATATTTTATAAAGTCTTACATTTTCATATTGGGATGCAATATGTGTAAGCTTTACACATAGGTCTCTCTCTCACTCTCTCTCTCTCTCTCTCTTTTAAGATCTCAAACTTCAAGCTTGTTACCATGGAAATATTTGGAAGTCTTACATATGTAATAATAGTGATTTAATTAGAAATACTTTCTCTAATCTCATGTGATTTTATTCACATTTTTAACCGATGCAGCCTTTGTTCATAAAATGGTACATCACACTATGAACTTCCTGTAAAAGAATTAACTCTGAATTCTATCATTGTCTTCATATAAGCTCCCAGAACTTTATGGATAATGACAAAAACTGAACGAACATGGGACTTCCTACTCTCACCCCCCCCACACACACACACATCCTAATTTGATGCTTTCCTAAATTCCCATTGACTTTGGAAGCATATATTCGGCAGAGGAGTCACTGCACTAATGTGTTTCAATGGAATTTTCCTTCAAGGAAGATGAGCACCAGCAGAAACCTTTTGGAAGTCCTGTTATAAAAAGGATTATTTTATTCTGCAAGCCTGCTAACCTTGACAATTGCTTGGTAATAAATGTGAAAATCATCATGAAGGTCACCTGGGAACCTGCATGATGGCATTAACAATGCCTATAAATATGCTTTTGGAATGATTGTTGCCAAGTGAACAGAGCTTATGATTGAAGTTAAAGAAAAGAACTGAAAATTTCAACAGCAATGCTCTCCAGCAAGAGCAAGGTTTTAAGTTATCACATCAATACATATATAGTGACCTCTGCTCAAGATAAAACAGATACAAGCAAAAAAACAACAACTTGTGGTTCTAGGGAAAATGTCCTCATGTGTAAATGAGGGGTGAACTTCCTTGATGTCTCTAACTTATGTTCATATGTTTAAGCAAGAAAAAGTAATATGTGGACACATGCCTATGTGCACAAATACACAGTGACTACAAATGAGTCAACTGTTAATTATGGAAACTGGACAAATTTTCTCATCACTTCATTCACTTTGTAGAATATGCTATTATAATGGTTGACAATGGACACAAGTCTATCATTTATTTAAATGTGTTTCTCCAAATAATTTAAAGATATTTTGAATTGTTTTTAAAGTATTTGTTCTCTTCCCTCAAGAGATAGTAAAATGTGTGAATAAGTTGATAGCTTATTTTAAACAGTGTGCATTTCATTCATTCATAGTCAAGTCTCCTAAACCATAACCCAAACTCACTGTTATAAAGTCAATTCTGACTCATAGCGAACCTAAGGCAGACCGATCCATTTATTTCTGTGTTAAAATGAGCACAGAGTGTCTCAGATGACCAAGGGGTTGTTATTTCTTCATTTTACCTTGACATGTAAATCTGAGAACACTCTGAAACTTTTTTTAAAAAGAAATTACTGATAGGTAAACACTGAATGATTTGAATGTTTCTGGAATATTTATGGTTCAATTTCAACAATGTAGTAGATATATTTTGAATATCTTAGCAACATTATCTACTCCTAACACAACACTTCCTCTATCTAATTTTGATAACTTGGTAACTTTTTAGAACATTCTAGCCTAAATCTCTTTGCTCCTAGCATGAAAGTCCTTTGCTGTGTCTTACAAATCTTCTGAGAGTTTGACAAATTTAATTGCATTATTTATACTATTACCTTGAAGGTGTTTCAGACATTGTCACTGACAGCGATATCCTCTATGACAGATGGTCTCAGTCACAATAACTTGATTCTCAAATTGTATTGTAATTCATACAATGGCAAAACAAGTTAATTTTATACTTATCACTAGGAATTCAACCATTTTAAATAAAACAGAATTCATATCACACAGTATGGCAAATGTACACACTTATTGAAAAATACTGCCTGTAATTATACCATCACAGCAAATCTGTTTGTGTGCAGTGCTGTCATCCTACTTTCTCAGATCTGTGGCAGTCACGGACAGAGATGATGACAGTGACTGAGACCCTGATGATGTCCACCAAGCTTCCAGCCTGTTAACCCTCTAAACCCCAACTAAACCCACTGCCGTGAAGTTGGTTCCAACTCATGGAAACGCTATAGGACAGAGCAGAACTGCCCTGGGGGCTTCAGAGACTGTGTGTTGATGACAGTAGGAAGCCTCTTATTCCCATGGAGTGGCTGGTGACTTCAAGCTGTTAACCTTGCAATTCAAACCTAGTTCACAGCCCATCGCTTAACCAACTGTGCCACCAGAATGCCCCTGTTTGCTCTAGAATGTACCGAAGAACAGTTCTTTAGTAGGAACCTTAAACCAACATTTGGTAACTGAAATTAAATCAAAGAACTATGTGAAATTGAAAACACATTGATTAAGCAACAAAAGATTATGATGGATCAGGCTCATTTCTTCAATTACATGATTTAGTCATGCGTCCTTTGATTTCCCCACCCTCTCATTCATTCATTTAAAAGATGGTTGTTGATCTTAGCAGTAAGCTAAAGCAATGAGCGAGAAGGATAAATTCCCTGAGTTCAAGGGGTTTTTATTCTCCTTGTGAGACAGAAAGTAAACGCGGGAATTCACGATATGACATTAAAAAATGATAGGTTTCATACAGAAAAGTTAAAGCAGAATCAGTAGATCAAGTGGCCAGAATAAGGAGGTGATGTTAAATAGGACACTTAGAAAATATTTCTTAGAGGAGGGGCTATTTGGAGGTAGGGGGAAAGAAAATGACATGCTTTTGGTGAATATGAAATTTCCTGATGGAAGCAATAGCAAATTCAAAAATTTTAATGGATGTTTTCATCAAGAGTGAAATGAAAATCTATAAACTCCTTAGCACAGAGCTCATTGTTCACTTCCCCTAAGCTCACAGAAATCAGAACAAAGTGGTTACTTCTGCCACTCTGACAAACCACTGCCAGAGTTCACTCTGCTCTTATTTCCTGGTCTTTTATGCCTCATTTTGTTATACAAACTTCTGGGTCTGGATTTATTAGTCTGTATCCAATCATAAGTAGAAACCACACAGTAATTTGAACAGCAAAGTTTTAGTATAAATATTTATTTAGTGTAACAGGTGATGGTAGAGATGAAGGGCTGGCTAATAGAAGGAAAACGAACCTAGAAGACTATGGGAATGGGTTCTATGACTCCTAGGACTGATCTAGAGGTTCCAGCAAAGAGTCTCCATCCTCCCAAATCCAGGGCTGAATCCAAACCTTTGGGAAGGCAGAGCCATGGCTTACTAAGTAACTGAGAAACCAATGAAGGCAATGTTGGTGGGTTGTGTTGGAAATCTCTCTGTTATTTGACAGAGATTTTTCCTCCAAGGTTCTTGGGAAAGCCATGTGCTCCCAATGGGGGAGTGGGAATGTCTTGGGAGAAGCTTCTGGCCATCCTGCACAGCAAGAGTCAAGTACTAGAGCAGCATACATGGCAGGAGTCTGATTCTCAATGCCCAGTGAGTGCACTGGAACCAGCAAGCAAAACCCTTTTCCTTCTGCAATGTCACTCCAGCACTGTCTTCAGTGCCAGCTGACAAAGAAAAAAATTCAAAAGGCTCAGATCTCTTTTCCCAGAACAGACAAAAAGGTAGATTTGGTACTGAGAGTCAATACATTGACAACTGATATGATGAGATGAGCAAAGAATAAATACTAGCAGACACAATGAAGACTGCATTGTTGGTTGTTTTAAGCAGGGCAAGTGACTTTTCAGAGCCATTCAAAGTTTTATTCATTGCTGTATCTGTCCTCTCTGCCTAAAGTAGAATCTGATCCAGTAAATATTTGTTGAAAGCAGGCATGAATGAAGGTGTTATTTATATTTTTCTCTAATATTTTCCTCCTTTTCTATTTTTTTTCCCATTGTAGCTGATGGCTGCACTGATTGGTCCGTCGACATCAAGAAATATCAAGTATTGGTGGGAGAGCCAGTTCGAATCAAATGTGCGCTCTTTTACGGTTATATCAGAGCAAATTACTCCCTTGCCCAAAGTGCTGGCCTCAGTCTGATGTGGTACAAAAGCTCTGGTCCTGGAGATTTTGAAGAGCCCATAGCATTTGATGGAAGTCGAATGAGCAAGGAAGAAGACTCCATTTGGTTCCGGCCAACATTGCTACAGGACAGTGGTCTCTATGCCTGTGTCATCAGGTAACCTTTTAATTCTATTCCTGTTGATTCAATGAAATCACTTACTATTTTCTCAGACTGCGCTCCCTTTCACCTAAGAGCATCACTGTCTGAATATTTGTGTGTGCTGTTGCTTCCCCAAATTCCGAATTTAAATCATAAAAGGATGGGATTGGAATTTATATTGAGACATTATTTCTAGCTTATGGAGAAAAGAGATACCATCTGGGTATCTACTTATGTTGCCAGAAATTACTGAAGACTATGAAATAAAATTTATAGTGGAGGTGAAATGTTGCAAATAAAATGTAAGCAAAGACTTGCAGGAAAGATGCGTAGTTTATTGCTCAATGGGTTGTCACATTTTGTTATTGCCCTTCACAGACAGATAGAGCACAAATACCTGCGCTTCCCAAACAGCTGCAGAAATGATTTAAGTCATATGTGTGTGCGAACAAGTAGAAGAAGGTTGCATTGCTGTGTTAGGGAATGCAAAGATTATAGTCCCAATCACTTTGGTAACTAAAAGTGTTCCATCCAAATTCCCCAAGGTCTTTCGAGGCCAGTATCAAAGTCACAACAACGTATGTGCCCTGATCCAAAAGAAAACTCATGGTGCCGTTCTGTTGCCTGCTCGTTCTGTTGCCTGCTCGTACATGCGGGTCGTTTGCTTGAAAATAATGCATGGACACAGAATCCATGTAACACCTATCAGTTAAAATTTTCAGTTTAGGCATTTCTCTGTTCATGGATTGTCAATGGCAACCTGCACGGATGCTTGCAGATCTCATTAGATGATTAGAACACTAGCAAAGATGAATATAACAATAGAGAGCGTATGTTTCAATCCATTTGGTATTCTGTCCTTGGTCTTTTTCGGGTAAATAATGCCCAATGTAAAACAGTTCAATGGGAACTTGGAGAAGGTCTCAGAATCACTTAATGCCTTTCGAGCCAAAAGGCAGCTTCCACCTCTAAAATACTGATTAGCACTCGTATTAGTTTCATATTATTACAAAACGGGTGGCTTGAAACAGCAGAATGATTTTGTTACAGTTCTGGGAGCTAGAATGGGGTAGTGATCTCTCTTTGTCTCTGCAGTTTGTGGCTGCATAACTTTAATTGCTGTCTTGGTCTTCACGGGACCACATTCCCTCTGTGCCTATCCATGCCTGTGTTTCTTCTCCCCCTACCCTTGTTTTTGTTTTTTTCATAAGGACACAAGACATGTCAGACACACACTATCTCAGTATGGCTTCATGTTAACGAATTACATTGGCAAAGATCCTATTTCCATCCAAGGTTACGCCCATAATTACCGTGATTAGGACTTCAACATATCTTTTGGAAGAAGAACAGCACCTCTCTCATAAGGATCATGCCTGCTTATTGTAATCTTTTGGAATCACTGTTATCCTGAGTCATGGGTACAGGTCTCTTGGGACATTACCACACCAAAAATAAAAATAAAAACAAACGCACTGCTATCAAGTCAATTCCAACTCAAGACCAGCCTGGATACAGAGTTGTACTACCTCTGTGGATTTCTGAGACTGTAACTCTTTACTGGAGTAGCCAGAGCCCCATATTTTTCCTATGAAGCAGCTGGTAGTTTCAAACTGCCGACCTGGCAGTTAGTAGCCCATAGGTGAAAATTGCATAAAGCTTAAAAGCTGACCACAAATAGACACATCTAGTGCCACTGAGTCGGACTCATAGAGTTTCTGAGAATAAATATTTATAGAAGCGGACAGCCTCATCTTTATCCCTCAGAGCAGTTGGTGGGTTTGAACTGCTGACTTTGAGGTAAGCAGCCCAACACTTATCACACATCAGCACCAGTGCGCCTAGAAAGTAGGGTTAGTGTGAAATACACACACACACACACACACACACACACAAATGAATGCAAATATAGAGTTGCAATTGAAGAAAAATGTACAGTAGATTTATAAAGAGCAAACGCATTATTCCTTGGGCATCTCTTGTTCTTTTCTGTAGATCTACCATTCCTTCGATGTTCAAGCTTAACTATTAAGAGAACAGTTAAAAAGTATTTTGGGGACCAGATGTTCTCACTTGACTAATATTAATTGGATTTTAATCTAGATCAGCTGTGTTTCTGTTAAAACAGTCATTATTTCTGATTGTTCATGCATGTGTAGAGGTGAGTCTTCAAGATCGGCAAATGTGTGCCCTCATTTTTTTGACATGAGAATTTTAGTTAGATTTCCATAATCTAACACTTAATTTCATTATTTATTATTCATGGGAATATAATGATGCATTCATATTAGTAATCTGAGTTACTAAAGCATTCAGGTGAATACATTAATGGGCTTCAACATAGACTAGGATCTAATGCTCTGAGAAATTGGCTTTAAAATGTCTGAGTTTATACCTGTCAATAATACATGAAGGTTAAAAAATTCTAAGATTATAACATTTGCCATATGTTCCTATGTCTATATTTTAATGCAAGGTTAACCTAAAACACAAACTCCTCCACATTTTATGTGTGTCTTGTGGTGTTCTGGAGAAAGTTATAATGATCCAAAGAGAGTATTTTGTCACTGAAATTCAAATATGCCCATCAATTTGTAGCTGCTCTTGGTATGGCTTCCTTTACCAATTTGAAAAGGGATACTCAAAATTAATATAAGTAGAAGTAGCGTGGCTTGGTGTTGACATGAATGGAGCCCCCAAACTGTTAGTTAAATCCCCAACAGATTGGCATATTGTGACTTATTAGAGACCCAAAGTGTTTTTAAATTTAATTTTTTTTAAATAATGCACTTACAAATAACTTTAGAGGTTTGAAAATGCTAGCTTCTATTCAAAAATTCTTGTCATTTTGATCCATATCTGGGGATGAAATTATCAATGAAAGTTTAACAAAGGTTTTAATGTATAGCTACGATCCCAAATTCAGCAGTTTGAAACCACCAGCAGCTCACTGGAGACAAATGGGGCATTCTCCTCATGTAAACACTCTTGGAAACTCACTGGGACAGTTCTAGCCTGTCTTAAAGGGTCACTGTGACGGAACATCTACTCGATGGCAGTGAGTTCTATTCAATTAAATAATGTATATACGGTGGGGCGATGGGATAATCTTGTCTATTTGGTGTTCATTTCTTTTTACTACTGGGTAATGATGGTTAAGCCATTTGACTAATGAAATATATACTTATTGGTTCCATTTTGGAGCTATGAAAACTAAACTATCTAGTACAGTTTATTTTGTGTATGAATACCCAAGAGTGAATTTGGGTGATAAGGTAGAGCATGTTGAGTTTTGTGTTTTTAAAAATAGTTTTATAGGCATACACGTAACATACCATCACAATTTAATCATTTAGACTTATTAAGATGTGTGCAATCATCATCACAATCAATTTCAGAGCACTTTTTTTCTTGTACTCATTATTGTTTGCTCATCTCCCCTCAACCTAGGCAATTATCAACTCAGCCATTAAGACCCTAGGTACTATTCTTCCTGATAGCTGGCACCATCTGGTTTCTTTACCACACTTTGGTATAGCACCCACATCTTCAGTAATACCTATGGTTTATAATGTCTGTAGTTCACTTTAGAGACATCATTATCATTTTATGATACAGAACATTATAAATAATTTCCTGGGGCATAAGGTTATTCTCTTGATAGTGTCATTAATTTAGCCAATGGTATAGAATTTAAAACACTCTTGAGAAAAAGAAATTATACAAGTATAGGCCAGCTTTCAGATCATAATACAAGGAGTGTTCATTTGTACAGATTAAACTCTTAAGCTACTGGACACTATTTACACAAACCATGGGCATTGATGTTAGGGCAAAACTGTTAATAACACTCATTCACAAAGGCAGAACCTTGCCTATCAGATTAATACATGTCCAAGGAAGCAAGAAGGGCATTAAAACTGTGAATATGCGGTAGTCCATGGCCACTATTCATTAGACACCTTCAAAGGACGAGATTTGAACCAAAGGCCAACAACCTCCCATTCCATAACCTTGGGATAGCAGTAATCTGCTCCTTCTCACACAAGGGCATTGAAGCCAAGTCCAAGGGAGCATGTTAGTTCCTTAAATCTGCTACAAGTGAGTTTGAGGTAAAGCCCAGTTCACGTGGTGGGGTTTCTACATGGAATCCTTCTGATATGACCTATGAAGAATGATTGTGGCTCAAAAAGACAGTGTGTGAAATACCAGGCCTGGGTCACCAAGGGCTGGATAGACTAGGTTAAAAATACCCAATTAGGAACATAGTACTGGGAGTAGTCTTCCTTTGGGTTTTATATAAGTAGTGTTATGCGGCGGTTTTTTTGGTTTGTCTGTATGTTTGTTTTTCCCCAATAGGAGGTCGTTTCTGCTGGTTTACCCCCAAAGAGAAATGTACTTGCCTTCTCTAAGACATCCAGGTGCCCTCCACAAATTGACTGGACCGTTCAGAGAGGTTCACCTATCACTATTTTAACATTGGTAAAGCAGGACACCATTGATAAAACTCATATCCTGGCGAAATAGCCACATGGCAGCTGAAAACCGTATACCTAGCTTGTCGTGCATTCCTTCCAAAAATCAGAACTTTTTAAAAACACCGCGGGACACAGGAAAAATTGTCAAAAATCAGGATGGTCCCACCAAAAGCAGGACGTCTGGTCACCTTACTCCTGTAGGAGTGTCTGTTGACTTGGGGTCACCTTAGTGCAATATCGTATCTATCAGCAACTGAAGGGTCTTCACCATCTCCCCCCATCTTGAAAAACTGTCCCCAGCTGAGATGAGGTCTCCTCTGTCCAATTGATTTTTAAGATGTGCATATAAATGGAATGATATATGGTTCGCGGGCACTAGGCAGGCTCTCTACCTCATTGTTTGAGAGACCAGATTAGGAGATTACATGTCCTGAGTGCAGAAGCATAAAGGCTCCTGGGTCCATCCATCTCCTGAGATGTTTCATGGCTTCATCGTTGTTTTTTCAGGGATGCATAGTGTTCCACTGTGTATATGGA